ATGCTTCGAAAGAGGCTGTGAGAAAAACATTCAGGGCCTTGGAAAAACGATCAATGACAACATTACAGCAGTAAGAAGGAGCCAGGAGTAGCAGTAGAAGAAATTGGTTGAGGGGGGTGGCAAAAAATGGAATTAAAAGTAAACGACAGAACATGATTAAAGAGCTGGAAAGGAGGAGAAAGGAGATCATTTGTGAGTCGAAAAATGTCATTCACTGTCAGGTTTCGAATCCTAGACCAATATATTGAATGAGAGGAGAAACCCTTAACAAACAAACAAATCAACCAACCAACAAACAAACAAACAAACAAACAAAACAACCAAGCAACAACAACACAATTAAGCACACACAAAAGAATTCCTCTTTATTCTTAATTACTGAAAACTGAAAAGAACATAGAATTACACAGCTTTAGATTGAAGGTCACAGACGCCAGAGCCATCGTTTTGCCCATATTATAGGCCCTGCCTAGCCTAGGTCAACGTAGCTTACATTGCATTTGGATCTGCGGACACCCCCCCCCCCCCCCCCTCACTCCCAATCTTTTTTTTTTGACGAAGGTAAATAAACAAAATAAATGATAAAACAACAAATAAACAAAGCAACCACAAACAAACTGCGATGAGAAAGTCTTACATCTTTTAAACTGAATAAATTAAATGAATTGTGGTAACAACAACAACACTAACAATTAACAACAATGACAACGACAGCAAAAACAACAAAAACAGCAGCACATTTTTACTATAGTTTTCAGTTTTACGTTTTTCTGCTATTGGAAATATCAAATTGAGAAAAGATGTCGAGTTTCACTTGATCATTTCTTTCTTTAAAAAAAAAAAAAACATGTTTCGTCTTGCAGGCGTGTCCCGATCTTGAATGGAAAGCTGTCTCTGAAAATAACCGGTATAATGGGCACAGACATCAGCAGATGGGGCTGAAGTGAGAGAAAGAGGGCTGGGGGGACGCGAAACTTGATATCGTGACAAGCCCATATCTATTATAGAAAAAGACGAGAACTAAAATTATAGTAAAAAGCTGGACAGACACGAGTTTGTTCCATCTGGAGCTAGAGCAGTCGACCTGATTTACAAAACGCTCGCTTTGACAAACATACTTTATTTTACATTTGTAGACACCATTATTTGTTGAGGCCTAAGTTTCTTGTTTGTTTGTTGTTGTTGTTTTACTACAAGTCACGTTATTCGTTATTCTAATAGACATTACATTATATTTGCTCTTTTTGTTATTGCTGTCTTACTGTTAACGACAAATCAGTTCGACTACAAACTTCAGTCTGTTTGCAGCGAAAAAAAAACCCAACAACCTAAAACAATAACAACAACAACAAGGAAACAAATAATCAAACGAAAAACAACATACACCTGGAGTGGCCACTATAAAGGGTTTGCTTCATCGGCTGAATTTTCTTTACGCAGGCGTTTCATATTGAGATACATAACCAATTATTGCATTTTCTGTGCAAATCTACTCAGCTCTTTGGGCGAGGTTTATCTTACAATCAACATGGATAACAGCAATACTAGTAATCCTAAAGTAGCTCAAGCCAGTGGGTTGTTAGACGAACACATTACCTCAATACTCCTCTTTCTCAACTGGTCAGTCATTTGCGCAATCATCGCTGTCTTTGGCATTGCTGCAAACATCATCAACATCATCATCTTTACCAAGATGGGCATCCGAGAATCAGTGAACCTCCCCTTATTGTGCCTATCCCTGTCTGACCTTGGCAGCCTTGTTGTATTTGGCCTGGGTTTCTTTGACGTCCAACCCTTTATTCATGTCACTAGATCTGCCTTTTAATACAGACGTGATAGTTTTCGGTAGCGGCTGGCCGTGGATGTGCTTTATCAGGTGTGTAAGAATACATTTGTGCCTCCAACGTATTTTGTATTCCAAACACATAATATGTGTTCACGTATGTTTCGTTATCACCCAGTTGAATACATGATCGTATGGCATAGCATGATATGGTATGGCATAGTATGGCATGGCGTGGCATGAAGCATTTAGCCAACTTCATTACTAGAGAACGATGTAAAGGACATAATCATCACCATTGCCTTTCTCACCCTGGATCAAGATATAGGCCACGAATAAACACCTTCCACCTTTTCCTATGCTGGGCTAGCGTCTTGATTATATTCCATGTTTTCCCACTTTTCTATACATCCAATGACTTTCCGGGGTGGATCCTCGACTGACATCGGGCAATCATGGTTCTTCATTCATTACTTCGCTCGGATGCTCTTAAAAAAGTTACGTTTCCCTGATCTTTCCCCCTTACCCATTATTTTAGGTTTCTTAAGTAGGTTGCTCTGGGCCTACCCCTGCCTCGTTTGCCTTCAATTTTGTCAGTGACAGCTAAATTTTCAAGACCTATTCAGGTGTCATAAAAACTGCATTTGTCGTTTCCTGAATGTTTTTAACGGTGAGCGTCCCATATGGGCTTCATCAAGCACTACCTCCATTGATTTCTTTTCCTTCCATGATTTTCTCAGCAGTCTCTTAAGAAACCACATTTCTGTTGTCTCTATTTTATTTTCACTGTCTTTAGTGATTGTCCAGCATTCACGGCCATATAGAAGGGTTGACGATACATAACATTTCAGAACTTTCATTTTGGTAGTCATTGAGATGTTTCCATTTTTCAGGATTGGGCTCATTTTATTGAAACTAGCATTCATCATCATCATCCAGTGCCAGATCTGCGACGGACATCGGCGATTATGGTTTTCCATTCATTCCTTTGCCAGGATGCTCTAAAAAGCTACGTTTCCCTGATCTTTCCCTGTTACCCATTTGTTTAGGTTTCCTAAGTATGCTGTTCTGAGCCTACCCCTGCCTAGATGCCAGACCCTTATGTCTATTCAGGTGTCCCAAAAACTTCATTATCGTTTCCTGATTGTTTTTTAACATTGAGCGTCCCACGTGGGCTTCACCAAGCACTACCTCATTTGATTTCTTTTCCTTCCACGATACTCTTAGCAGTCTCCTAAGAAACCAAAATTCTGTTGCTTCTATTTTATTTTCACTGTGTTTAGTGATTGTCCAGCATTCACAGCCATATAGAAAGGTTGATCAAACATAGCATTTCAGGACTTTCATTTTGGTGTTCATTGAGATGTTTCTATAAAGAAACTTACATTTGTCCGCTGGTTTGCCGATTTTTATCGAAATTTTGTTTTTTAGCTCTACACTTTCTATGTCTATTTAAGAACCCATTGTAAGTGTGAATTATATTTTTTTTTAATTGATTAAAGGTACAAAAAATGTAAATTGTCAGTTTTCACGGATTCTGAGGCTATATAAATAACCAAACGTTGACGACCATTTTATCACTAATTTTTACCTCTGAAACCGGGCGACCCCACATTATTCGATCGCCAATAGCTCTACATGTACTCGAGATAAATGGGTAAATCTTTCAGAGAAAACAAGGCAAATGAACAGGCTTAAAGATGATACCAATAACTCTATATGCCCAACAATTGATGAGCGCCTGATTCCAGCGCACCCTGACACATATGTTAAAGAGAACGGGTTGCAAAGTTTGCGACTTTTTTTGACTTTTTTTTTTTTGGTGCAGGGCTGGAGAAAAATTTTAGGTTTCTTTCGTTAGAATTTTTAGGTATAAAAGTATTGTCTCCTTTTGGAAAAACAAAATCTTTAGTCCGGTAACCATTTTTTTCCTCAAAGAGATGTTTTGACATTTGCACAAACAATTTAACAAAGAGGACATGCATGATGTGTTCCCAATCTATTTTTATTTTCTTCTGTTATTTTTCATATTTTGGCTCGCGCCTGCCCACGTACTATGTTTTCCTGGTCTAACTTTATTTCAGTTTCCAAAGAAACTAAACAAACGTTTGACTCAGCTCCATATAACAAACCTATACACATCAAAGATGTACTGAAAATACTTTCAAGCTGGCTACCTCAGAGTTACAAAGTTCTATCTGACAGGTACTAAAGACATGATGTCAGAAACCAAAATTTTCTCTGCTCTACCAAAATCGTACGATTATTCGGAAACTTAGTAATCAAGATGCGTATAGAATTACATTCGGAAAAACTGGTTTGTGAAAATCAAAATAGTTAAATATCAGATTTCTCCAAATTGGGTAGAGCTACTGAGCAGATAGAACTTTGTAATTCTAACCCTTTCCCCACCTGCATATTTCATGTTTGATTCCTACCAGCAGGGTGGTTCATACCCGTACACTTTTTTATAAGGAAATACTGGCTAGGGGTTCATACTCGTACACTTTTATATAAGGAAATACTGGCTGGGGGTTCATACTCGTACACTTTTATATAAAGAAATACTGGCTGGGTGGTTGACACCCCTACAATTTTATATAAGGAAATACTGGCTGGGTGGTTGACACACCTACACTTTTATATAAGGAAATATTGGCTGGGTGGTTGACACCCCTACACTTTTTTATAAGGAAATACTGGTTGGTGGTTCATACCCGTACACTTTTATATAAGGAAATACTGACTGGGGGTTCATACTCGTACACTTTTATATAAGGAAATACTGGCTGGGTGGTTGACGCCCCTACACTTTTATATAAGGAAATACTGGCTGGGTGGTTGACATCCCTACACTTTTATATAAGGAAATACTGGCTAGGGGTTCATACCCGTACACGTTTATATCAGGAAATACTGGCTGGGGGTTCATACTCGTACACTTTTATATAAAGAAATACTGGTTGGTGGTTCATACCCGTACACTTTTATATAAAGAAATACTGGTTGGTGGTTCATACCCGTACACTTTTATATAAGGAAATACTGGCTAGGGGTTCATACTCGTACACTTTTATATAAAGAAATACTGGTTGGTGGTTCATACCCGTACACTTTTATATAAGGAAATACTGGCTGGGGGTTCACACACATACACAAAAATTATATGCTAAGCTGTGCAATCAAGGGTATTTTATGCTTTTTTGTTTATGACAATATGACAACTCTGGCTATGTAAGTGCTGGAGAGTGACTGGCCCTGATTCCAAGAACTTCCTGTCACATGGTCATGTTATCTGGAGAGACCAAGTGTCAACAACTTAGATTTGTCCACGAAAAGTTTGTTCTTCTTCTTTTCAAGTGAAATAAAGGTAAGAGAGCACATTTTATTTGTTTATGTGTGCCTGAGTGTCTGTGCGTGTCTGTGTTTGTGTATGTGTGTGTATGTGTGTGTGTTTGTGTGTGTGTGTTTGTGTGTGTGTGTGTGTGTGTGTGTGTGTGTGTGTGTGTGTGTGTGTGTGTACTGGTGGGGGCTTTATTATTCAAAGAATCTAATAAGGTCTAGATTTTATCTGTAGGTGAAAGAATGGAAGTTAATGTGATGGTCAATAGAACAAATATAAGCCATAAGGTTAGTGTAAGCTGTATCAAATATATACCATAATAGACATGTATGTTCATATTATTATTCAATACCTGGGACTGCAGCTACAATAGAGGCCATGTAAACATGCTGCAACTAAATCACGCTTGTTTCGGCAATGTTGACTCTGTTTAAATTATGTATCATTTGGGTTGGTTTTTCAGATACTGCAAATAAAATATCCAGAAACCTGTTCCAAAGCTTAGGCGTCTCTACTCATGACGGGGACGAATCTGAAGCTAGTGATGAAGCGGATCTTTCCGATGAAGACGAAAGCTGGCCACCACAGACACCATCAGCTGATTCCATTGACTTGATTTGCTTATCTGACTCAGATTCTACAAGCGATTCTGAACCAACCCCTGACTATCAAACTCAGATACAAACTGGCAACAATCCTTCACAAGCAGCAAACGTGGCGATGACAATGCAAACCAAATTATACTTTGCAAAGACCGTGAACCTCAGTGGAACACAAAGCCATTTCCTGAAGCACGTACTCCAATCAAAAAACATTCTGAAAACACCAAGAAACAGAACGTCTTATATTGATCATATCTCTTCCCCAGGCGAGGCATTCTACCTCTTCATAAAGGACAGGATTATTGATATCATTGTCGATTCCACAAACAAAGAGGGCGTCAGATAAAAAGGAGATAGTTGGGAGCCCACTGATTCCATTGAGATGAAAGCCTTTCCTGCATGCCTACTTCACACCGGCAGTCTTCATCAAAATAAAGTGTCCTTTGAAATTTTGTTCAGTTTCGTTCCAAGGCTACCCTCTTCTCAGAGCAGCATTCTAAAAATAAACCAGATTCAATCACCTGCTAAATCATCAGATTTGACGACAAAGAAACCAGGACACAACGACAAGCTAGGGACAAGTTTGCTCCCATCCCCGACGTTTGGGATCTCTTCCACACCAACGTAGCCAAGCACTATCATCCGGGGCAGAACATAACATTTGATGAACAGCTGGTTCCATGCCGTGGGAGATGTAGTTTCATCCAGTACACCCCAAGCAATCCAGGTAAATATGGAATTAAAATCTTCTCGGCGTGTGACTCTGAAAGCAAATACCCACTCAGAGGCTCCCCTTATTTGGGCAAGGAGCACACAGGACCAAGACCCGCCCCAGAGAACAAGGCCGTGGGATCCAACAACGTTCAAAAGCTGACTCAATACTTCAAGGGCTGTGGTAGAAATATCACTTGTGACAAATTTTTTTTTACCAGTCTTGACTTGGCTGAGGTACTGGTAAAAGACAACCTAACTATGGTTGGCACAGTCAGGTGGAACAAAACATTTCTGCCTGTGAACTTCCAGGAAAAATAAAAACTTGGCTTTGTATTTCCAAAGAATGCATCTTTGGTCTCTTATCAAAGAAAAAAACAAAATGTCCTTCTCCTCAGTACAATGCACTCTGCTCCTGAAAGATCTGGGTACAACGGAAAGCCTGAAATTGTCCTGCATTGCAACAGAACCAAAAGTGAGGTGGATGCAATGGACCAAATGATCCGTGCTTTTACTGTGGAAGGTAAGACAAAGAGATGGCCACTTGTGGTCTTTTTCAACATCATTGACCTCAGTTCCATTGGCTCACGTGTCATTTGGCAACCCAAGCTCTTCAATGACAAACTTTCACACGCACAAAACAGGCAGCTCTTCAACATGGCTGTGGCAAGACAACTGGTTGTGCAGCTGATCATACCACGCTCAACTGTCTCTACACTCAATCTACCAATCAAACAAAATATTGACGAGACCTACTCAAGTGTCGTCTGTTCCAATCCAAAGTCAAAGAAATACGTCCAAGCCAAAAGACGAGTCTCCTGGGTCTCAAAGCAAAAGAGATGTGCACTGTGACCGGCCAAAAAGGATCAGAAGACAAAGTCTCGATGCCAGAAGTGTGATTATCACGTTTGTAAAGACCATTCAGTTTTTCTTTGCACTGTCTGTTTTGAATAACACAATTTTTTAAAAATCTTTCATTCTTTTGTGCAGGTGCAAGAACCACAAGTGGCGAGGCAATCTCACCGCTCGCACCTTGACATCAGCTTGTCTCCTTATTTCTGTTCGTGTTTCAAGTTTCTGTTGAAAATTAAAAGTTGTCTCCATTTATGTCAGGCCTCCATAATTGTTTTTTTCATAATACATGCTCGTTACTTGTTAGTTGGGATTGGTTCACATATTAACCTGACTAATCCTTTTCTCCATAAAGTCTATAGAAAGTGTACGGGGGTGTACCACCCAGCCAGTATTTCCTTACAAAAAAAGTGTATGGTGGACAACACCCACCAGGTAGGAATCGCCATAAAAATTTTAAACAGTAATCATTTCCCGCACATTTATCATTTGAAAATTTCTGATAAATCACAGCGATAAATACACCACATAATTTGTGGATTACATAGACGCACAAGTGTGTTGATTGAACGCATTCGGAGTTATGTCCTTACAAAGTGGTCAGGAGGGTGTAATACACCCGGCCAGTGGGGAAAGGGCTAGGGTAGCGAGCTGTTTGGTGGAAGTCTAACATTTGATGCCAGTGTCACCAAACGTTTAAGAGCTCAAGAGAATTTTAAACATCCACACTGATATAATGGTTATTGTATGATTTTGTGTATATGTGCGCGTGCACGAGAGAGAGAGAGAGAGAGAGAGAGAGAGAGAGAGAGAGAAAGAGAGTACGTCTGTGTATGTCCGCGTGTATTACTTGTGAATTTTTTTATCCTTTTCAACAGGACATCAGGCATAATCACTGCTGTCGTGACAATGGAGCGCTGTCTGTGCATCATTATACCCCTACATGTACACAGAATATTCACCCCGAAAAAGACAGCCATTTACCTTGCTGCTGTAATCTTTCTTTTACTACTGTCCTTACTCCCAGTTTTTGGATACACCGACCTCGTTCCTATCTTCGATACCGGGAAGAACAAAACGCTGATTGGAATAGTTTACAACGACAATGAAGATACCATCAAACCCGTTGTTATGATAGCAGGTTTCATTCTGACTGCAGGTTCTTTTCTCTGCGTGTCAACAGAACAAGGACATTCAAGTGGCCAAAATGATATTGCTCGTCGCTGCAGTGTTCCTCATTGGCTTCGTGCCCCTCGGCGCCATATTTCTGGCCATGGAATTAGTACAAGGGTTTTGACAATGACAATGACAATGACAATCTTTATTCATCTCGCAGGGAGAAATTGGTCTTGGTCGTTAACAATGGCAGTAGACGTTACAAAGGTTAGACTTAAAGGTGCACTCACGCAAACGCACAACAAGACAGGACATTATGCCAAGTAAATACATGTCTCACGGGCTGGGACAACCCGCTCCGTAACACATTCATTCTCTCTCTCTCTCTCTCTCTCTCTCTCTCTCTCTCTCTCTCTCTCTCTCTGTTTCATTTGTAGCACTGTGTGTTCAGTAACCTCACTGCAGTTGGTACAAATGAATTTCTATATCTGTCTGTTCTTGCTTTTTTGGAAATGTATCGTTTACTGCGGGTCGATAGTTGAAATTCCGATGTCAGTGGGTGGCTATGGTCACTAAGCATTATTTCCGCCTTTTTTAGAACGTTTGTCTTGTGCAGATATTCAAAGTTACTTAGGTCTCTATCAATTGTTCTTGATGCCTTTTTTATCAACTTATTTAGTTTTATAATGTGCTGCCTTCCCAGATTGCTACCATAGCAAGTGATTCCAAAATTGATCAAAGTTTCTATTGTGGTGGTGTAGAAAATCTGAAGGATGGATGGATTCAGATTGAAAGACTTTAGTTTCCTCAGAAAGTACAGCCTCTGATTTACTTTTTTAACGATATTGTTTACGTGGTTTTGCCATGTAAATTTGTTGTCTATTGTAAGGCCAAGATATTTGTATGAATCCGTGATTTCAATAGTTTCTTGTTCAATTACGAGTGGTGGGATTGTTGGTTTTTCTCTTCTAAAATCAAAAATCATTTCCTTTGTTTTTGAGAGGTTCACTTTTAGAAAATTTGAGTTGCACCATTTAAAAAACCTACATATTTCTTCGAAATACTCTTTTTCATCATGGTTTATTAATCCAATAATAGCGGAGTCATCTGCAAACTTAATTAAGCGTGTTGTTTTATAAATACTTCTATGATCGTTGGTATATATAGTATACAAAACTGGTGACAAAACACACCCCTGAGGACCGCCGGTGTTACAAAGAATTGTGTCAGATTTTGTGTTGTTTAGCTTCACATATTGTGGTCTACCTGTCAAAAATTCCAGGACCCATGCTGCGATAATATGATGACTAACTCTCAGACTCAGAAGTTTTTCAATGACAATATGCGGTTGAATTGTATCAAATGCTGAGGAAAAATCTACAAAAAGTACCCTCGTATACGTTTTAGATGTTTCAAGGTGTTTCAGTATAGAGTCACAAAAAACAAGTACAGCATCTTCTACGTTCCTCTCTTGTTTGTATGCAAACTGGAATGGATCTAGATTTCCATGAACACGGCCTAGAATATTAGAGAGGATCAATTTTTCAAGGCACTTGAAAGCAATGGATGTAAGAGCGACTGGTCTTAAGTCATTTAATTCATATATTTTAGGCTTTTTTGGTATTGGTATTACCTCCGATGTTTTCCATATTGTAGGAATGTAGTTTTTGTGTAGGGTCAGGTTAAAAATGAAGGTAAATATCGGGGCCAGTTGCTCACAACAAGTTCTTAACACTCTCCCTTTTACTCCGTCTGGACCACAGGCTTTGTTTATGTTTACACTTTGAAATTTCTTTTTAACACTCCGCTCACTGAGCTCAACACACTCCTCCCTGCTCAACTCGTCTCTTAGGCTCTGTTTAAGATCACGCTGCTCATTCTCAAAATCAAAACAGTCGAAACGACAATAAAAGTTGTTTAGCTCATTTACATAGTCTCTTTCATTTTTTACTTGCACACTCTCTCTCGCTGCAGTATAACCCGTTATTTTTTTCAAAGAGGACCACATATTCCTCATATTATTTGTCTGAAATTCGCTCTCAATTCTAGTTTTGTACGCTTGTTTACAATGAGCAATCTTTCTTTTAATTTTTTTAGATATCAAGTACATTTTATTCAAATTATTACTTGTAAAGGCTTTCCCTTTTTCTTTTATAAGATCTTTCAGTTCTTTCGTTACCCATGGCTTATTATTTGGATAGTACGTAAGGGTTTTATAAATAGTAACAGTTCTACCCCGGTAAAGCGTATAATAACGAACATGTTGTCTGTACGTCTGTTGTCCAGATCTTACAGGGTGTCAACAGTTCTATAAACATTCTGCTGTACATCAAAATGAGTTCAAAATACAGGCGTACCATCCGGGCTTCGTTTCTTTCCCTGAAGCAAACGGAACTCGACCTTGATTAAAGCCTAACTTTGTCAGATCATATTTTGTTTTGGAGCTTGCCTTGAGAAATCAGGTTTTGCTACTCATCTGTGGTGGATACTTTCGAGAATATAGACATAGACTTTAAAAAGTCGGTCTTTTTGTGTGTGTGTGTGTGTTGTGGGTGGGGGAGCTCTTTGTTACGTTAAAGAACGCTATATGTATGTATAGAAAAAGGATTACATGAACGAGTTTACATTAATCGAAAGGTATCGGTACCCAAAATCGAAGTTATTGATATATAGTAAAAGAAAGGATTACTTCTGTTAGGATGAACCTTTTCTTTGTCATTTTGAAATTGCTTAGAAAATCATTAAAATTGTAACCCAGAATAGAAGCATTAAAAAGGAACGACCGCTTTTATTACCACGAACCTTATAATTGTCATTTTGAAAGTGCTTAGAAATTCCCATGTTATATCCTAAAATCGAAGAAAAATTAAAGAAACTGTCAATTTTACGATGAGCCTTACGTCTTATATTCGTCCTTTTGAGATTGCTTAGAAAAGCACCACGGTAGGAGGCATCAACAGTACTGCACCACCTTCCACTCTAGGCCTACCTACCGCCATTGAATGTACTCAACTGACCTGGGTTTTTTTGCACCATCTTGAGATTCTCCAGTCCACTGAAGTCAGCAATCTTCTGTACTACATCTATGCTCCTGACACAGGCTTTGCTTGTTGTGTGTTTCTTTGCTTGTTTGCCTTGCCGACTGGCTTGGGCCATCATGGACCTACACTTCACTCTGTCTTGCCTTGCCGACTGGCTTGGGCCATCATGGACCTACACTTCACTCTGTCTTGCGTTGCAGCGATGGTGTCTGTCGTTCTTGCTGTTCCCAGCCATGTTGTCAACTTGTCAGGTATATTTCCCCTCTGTCTACACTGCCTCTCTTTAAGTCAAACTTGCCTGTTGTTACAATA